GGTCTGGAACTAGAGACCTGGTCCGAGACCTGGAGACCTGGTCCGAGACCTGGAGACCTGGTCCGAGACCTGGAGACCTGGTCCGAGACCTGGAGACCTGGTCAGAGACCTGGAGACCTGGTCAGAGACCTGGAGACCTGGTCAGAGACCTGGAGACCTGGTCCGAGTCCTGGAGACCTGGTCCGAGTCCTGGAGACCTGGTCCGAGTCCTGGAGACCTGGTCCGAGTCCTGGAGACCTGGTCCGAGACCTGGAGACTGGTCCGAGTCCTGGAGACCTGGTCCGAGTCCTGGAGACCTGGTCCGAGTCCTGGAGACCTGGTCCGAGTCCTGGAGACCTGGTCCGAGTCCTGGAGACCTGGTCCGAGACCTGGAGACATGGTCCGAGACCTGGAGACATGGTCCGAGACCTGGAGACATGGTCCGAGTCCTGGAGACCTGGTCCGAGTCCTGGAGACCTGGTCCGCGACCTGGAGACCTGGTCCGAGACCTGGAGACCTGGTCTGAGACCTGGAGACCTGGTCCGAGACCTGGAGACCTGGTCTGAGACCTGGAGACCTGGTCCGAGACCTGGAGACCTGGTCCGAGACCTGGAGACCTGGTCCGAGACCTGGAGACCTGGTCTTGAGTTTCGAGAGTTTCACTACTCTCGGAGCCCTGCCATGTAATCTCCGGTATTTGTATATGTGGTTGATTTAACTAAAATACTAAATTTGAGGGTAACAAACGGAACTTGACGACCAAAAAAAAAAAATAAAAACTTATGAAGACAGGCTGATGGAGGTAATTTTGAACTCAAAGACGTAGACTGAGGGGGCGGGGGAGTTGAGGTCAGTGTACACTTAGAAAACAAATTAAAAAAAAATAGGAGATATAAATAACGCGTTGAAAATAGCTAACGAAGCCGGGAATAGCAGCAATGGATTCAAGATGGACAACTCTAAATTTGGAAAGGATAGAGGTAAATAATGATTTGACAAGAGTTAGTGAAAAACGCCTAGGTGGCGTCACTGAGGCGAGAACGTTAGGTAGCTTAAAATATAGGTTGGACAGGTGCACAAGTGGTTGTGTGTGAAATGAACCTGCCTAGCATGGGCCAGTACGCCTACTGCAGTGCCCCTCTGTTCTTATATAATGTTTTTGTGTTAGCCAGTAGCTAGGACTGGACATTAGCGGCATCAGTTGTGCTGCCTGTAACTTGTACACAACCAGACAATTCTTTAATACCTAAAATAGGGACTGAGGTAAACTCAGCGTACACATACACACACACAGAGAAATGCACACCTTAGTGTATATACCCTGCAGTTCACGTATTAAATGATTAACTAATTATAAACGGTACTAGTGAACAACTTACCTCACATGTTGCCGTCCGAGCGCACACTTGATGACAACATAGTTGATGGTTCCTCGTAGATCTGTCAGATTATGTCGTGGTTATTAACCAAGACATGAAGATCACTTATAACATACCCTACCAGCGGTGTGCGAATGATAGATCACTTATAACACACTCGTACCAGTTTAGTTAGTTTAATATCTTTTTTATACACGCCAGACCCATCCTGTGGGTGGTAGTCAAAAGATTACAGAGGTACATAATGGGTCCAGGGACCAGACCGCAAAGTTTTGATAGCTGAACAAGTTACAGCGGTAATGAACTATACACCAGTACCAGTCTTGTGGGTATCAACGAACACTGACGGAGGGGGGGAGGGGGAGGAACACCAGAACACACCTTCGCCTGCCGTGTGTGTTCCCACACTGACGCCGGCGTAGTCTCGGTGCTTCAGAAACACCCAGACATTTTCCTAGGCTGCTTCAGAGGGTTCATTGCAAGGGAATGAATCCCGTTCAAACGGTAAACAGTATCTTAGGGATCCAGATAATCTTGGCTGTTAGAACACTGGTCAACTGCAGCCTTAATGACCCTGGTACCGTTGCTGGGTGTCGAACCCCAACAGTGACCTCCAGAGGTCACCCAACCACTGGCCACGCTCGAAACAAATTAAAATAATGAAACTTCCACAACTAACACGAATATCTGTCTATCGATCTATATATCTATATAGGAAGGGTAACTTTAATTCCCTGGATCAAGAGCCCTTCACTAACATCAAGACACCCTCCTGGATTCCAGATCAGTTTGTTATATAGTCATAAAAGAATAAATATTTACTGACGTTAACAGTGAATTATTATTGTTATACTTTTTTATTATTATTGCAATTATTGCGATTATTATTATTATTATTATTATTATTATTATTATTATTATTATTATTATTCACAAAGAGCGTTAAAAATTATTACGAGTATTATTATAATTATTAGTATTGCAATTATTACGATTATTATTATTATTATTATTGTTATTATTATTATTATTATTATTATTATTATTATTCACAAAGAGCGTTAAAAATTATTACGAGTATTATTATAATTATTAGTATTGCAATTATTACGATTATTATTATTATTATTATTATTCACAAA